TGCCATTTATAGATAGATAAGGAATAAAGACTCTCAGCTATGTAAAAACCATCTTACCCAGAATTATGAACCAGTTCAAGGGTTTTTCCCCCCCACAGTTCTAAATATGTTTGACTACAGTTGGGAGAGGGACTGAGAGGAGTAGTGCAGAATGGAGCAGAGTAATACTCCTTTTTACAGTAAAGTCAGTCTGAGGAAGGAGTATTAGGTGAAATGAAAAATTATTTTTTCTTATAAATTTCCAAACACCAATCTTATGAAGATCGCAGTGGTTTATGCCCCCAATTATTTTTCAAAGTGGCCCATTCAACAATGGATAAACATCCCTGTGTTATAAACCAGTGACATGCAAGACTATATTCTTGTGTCACTGCGCCTGTTGGTGCAGGACGCAGAGCAGGTTGTCCCCTAATTGGAAGCTTTGTTGGTTCGTCCCGGCTCCTCCACACATGTCGAAGTATGCATGAGCAAGATACTAAGCCCCAATTGCTCCAGATGCTGTGCATCTTGTGTAAATGTGTATTAATGAGTTAGTTTTGGCTTTTCCATCACTGGGAGTGAATGATGTGTGAAAGGTGAATGCGGCACGTATGTAAAAGCGCTTTGAGTGGTCAGAAGACTAAGAAAGGCGCTATACAAGTCCTTTTACCATTTAAAAACTGAGTGAGGAAATACTGTATGACTTAAAGAATCCTGATTCTGATTCTGACTTCATTTGGATGAACCTACATTTAAGCTTCACCCAAATGTAATTTTTAATTGGCCATGCCTCCCAACACTTTTTAAGCTAAAGGGAGAATGAGTCTTTTAAATAATACTACTTATTGCTCTCCTTGTGTCCAGCAGCCATAACGGGGGGCGGCTGTGGCTCAGGAATCAGAGCGGGTCGTCCCCCAGGTTAGAAGGTTTGTTGTTACGATCCCCGGCTCCTCTTGCCACGTGCCGAAGTAGTATCCACTTGAGCAAGATACTGAACCCCAAATATAATAGTAGTGAATGTGTATGAAATGATTAGTTTCTGTTCGAGGACTTTTGCCATCACTGAATACGTCGAAATGTGTGGTGAAAGGAGTGAATGCTGGCACGCTAGGGTGTCAAAAAGCGCTTTGAGTGTTCGGAAACTAGGAAAGCGCTATACAAGTACAGGTCCATTTACCATAACATGGATAAAAGAATCAGATGTGCTTACTAAAATTCAGATTCACTCACCTGATGAGGTTACTATCCCCCCCAGGCTGCAGACAAACCCTGCCTTCTTTGCTGGGATTGGCAGAGCCTATAACCTCAACCATGCCAAGCTGAATTAGGCTGAAACCATATATTAAATTTTTTTTAAATAAGCAACGCATTATTTTCTTTAGATCTTGACACAGAAAAAACTCTCCCTTTTAGAAGGTGTACCCAGATGTAATATTTTAAAGGTCCAGTGTATAACATTTAGTAGAATCTATTGATTGAGGTATGTTTTCATTAGTGTGTAATCACCTGAAAATACATTGTGTTTTCTTCTTTCTACCTTAGAATGAGCCCTTTTTTATCTACAGAGGGGGCAGGTCCTCTTTGATGGAGTCCACCATGATTCTACAGTAGTCCAGGATGGACAAACCAAATAGGGCCTTTCACAAGTTTTTACTGTCAACATAGTTTCTCCTTTGTGCTTTGCGTCAAGGGGTTTCAGTTGGTTGCACTCTGCTATCTCATTGCTAGATGCCATTAAATCCTACACACTGGTCCTTTAATTGGATAATAATTCTCACAGTAGCCGTGTTTCTAGGGACAAACATAACTTTAGAGTTATTCACATTTTAAACTGCAGGATGACGAGGAGGAGCCAACCAGCAGCAGCCCACTCATCCACCCAGTCAGGGGGAGGGAGACCTACAGATTCACACTCAAAGATCCTCACAGGAACAGAGCACACACTCTCACAAAAAATAGTCACAGAAACAGGCCAATAATACAGCCAAGGCTGTATTACCTATCTCTCTCACCTGTTGAAGTGAATTGCCAAAACAGTAAAACATCTATTAATAATCTGTAAATTGTCAAAATCTGCTGCTGCTAAGTTCCTGTTGTATGTACAAGCTGATGTATGCACAAATAAGCTCTACGTGGCTTAACCATTGAAGAAGCAACAATAAAACTGTGCTTGTGGACTGAAGAACTAATGTACTGATCATATTAAACAGCCACATTCACCATGTTTCATTTTAGTTGTCAGAGTGGTAGAACATGTTGGCAACATGCAATGCTAACTTTGTGTTACACATTGAACTTTACTGTAGATCGGCTTTCTGTTATGATGCAGAATAATGTGAGGGTGGGAACTACTATTGCGAAAAATGACAGTGTTTTGGTTATGATATACTTAGTCACTATTTAATAATGGTAATGATCCAGTGTACTATGTGTTAATTCAAACTATTACAACATATTGGTCCTATCATGTGTGATCATGTGTGATTGTGTGGGAAAAATAAAGCCCTGATACAGGATTATTGTTCTCTGCATAACACACTTTTATGACCCGTGATTCACACAAAGGCAGTCTTGGAACCATTTGATCTTCCATTTTATTAAAAACATACATTTGAATGTATAGGTTACAATGTGTATCAGAACATACTCCTAAAACAGTCACCACAGCTTAAATAGAATCAGGATATAATGGCTCTCCGAAGTCCTTCATAACTAATAATAACAGTTTACTGCCACCAGATGAATTAACAAACAATAGCAGTCAATACTTGGGTGTTTCACATTGTTTGCAGTAACTTTCTGGGTCACCTAAATGTGCATTTCATTTTCTGCATCCTTAAATGAGCACCAGAGAGGGTGCAGATCCTACTGGGTGTTTTCAAATATTGCACAACATCTCATGTGTGGTGTGAGCTCAGAAGGTTCAGAAGTTACCCCTCCCCGAACACTCACAGAAGTTGGCCTTGGTCGAGAGGACTTGTTTTGGAAGAATTTATTTTTATTTTTTATGTGTTAAACATCAAAGGAGATGTGTTTTTCCCTGGAAATGGACCGTGTGAAACGTGAATTTAAAGGAATTGGAATGAGATGGCGACCCGCTATGCCGGGGCCAGCATGGGGCAGAGCGGGGAATGTTTTATGTCTATATGTTTGTTAGAAATGCATTCTTTTGATTATGACTCTCCACTTTAATCTGATCGCACACATCTGTTGGAGACACTCACACATACTTCCTTTCTCTCTAAGGCATTCATGTAGTGTTTTGTGATCATGTGGACAACAATAATTAATAATAACAATATCCAAAATGGTGCTCCAGCTCTTGTAATTCTGGGAGGAATATTTTAGTGTCGTACACATCATGATTTTATTGATTATATGACATGAGGGC